CGGGGAGCTCGTTCCAGAGGGCTGGAGCTGCAACAGAGAAGGCTCTCCCCCGGAGAGTCGCCAGCCAACATTGGCTGGGAGATGGGATCCGGAGGGGGGCCAGTCTGTGCGATCTGATCGGTCTATGGGAGGAATTGGCAGGAGGCGGTCTCTCAGGTACCCAGGTATGTGTAAGAAGGCTGGTGCAATTATGTTATATGTTTGAGAATGGCATGCACTGTGTGACTCATTGATTGAAGTGTTAGACCTGGACTTTGAAAACCTAGGTTCAGATTCACCCTCTATCTTGGAAGCCTATTGAGTGACATTGAGCCAATCAGTCTTTGCCCAACCTATTGGGGAAAATTAGAAGGAATTGCCTTGACCTTCAAGAAGCAATATGGGATATATTTTTAACAAAGCATGTCATATGTGCAAGCTAATTCTGTTTTCAGGGAAGCTTCTGATACTGCTTCGTATAAGTAGGGGGTTGGACTAGAAGACCTCCAAGGTCCCTTCCAACTCTGTTATTCTATTCTAAAATTGTTCAGTGAGGAACCTTTGATAAGCATATCTTCTAAAGATATTAAAGTTCTATGAGATGAATCCACCACTTTCTACTTAGAATCACTGAACAGAATAAATCTAGAGAACATATTTAGTTAATAACAAATTAGCAGTCAGAAATTATTTATTTATTTATTCCTCTCTATGAAACTCAATGTACAATGTCCAACTGTTTGGTTCTATTTAGTTTAGTTTTGCTTAACAGCTTTGTAACCTATCTTGTCTGCAATGACTCACAATAATAGTTAAAAACAAAAATGTGTATCTTTGGGGCAGTATATAGGCTTGAAGTAGACATATGTGCTGGTATAGCTTCTTTCCAGGTGTAGAATCCTAGTTGTAAAGCTATGTGTTTTTTTGCATAGCTTTATACATGTAGCTCCTATCCAAGCAGAGCACCTTATCTGAAGGGTGTTGAGGACTTGGGAGAAAAGTATTGTTTTATACCAAATGCATATTATATAAAAATATGAGTGAAATTTAATGTAGCAGCTACTGCTAACTGCAGGAGATGCTGATTTTTTAAAAAAAGGAATTGGATTTCAACAGTTCTGAAGGAAATTTCTCCCAAGCCTGTAATATCCTCCTTCTAATTTCAAGGTAAGTAATTTAGTTTCTAGGAATGGTGATATTTGCTTTTTTTTCTCCCATCCTCTAAAAAAAACCCGAAGGATAGCATTTAACAAATCACGGTCATGCTCACACACACACATTCCTACAGCAATAGCTATTTTAATATGTTTTCTTTAAATGAATTAAAATATTTTGAAGACTTACATATAGTTGGAATAGGAATCATCACTGGACTATCATTAGCAAAGTAATCTAAAAAAAGAAGAAAGTAAAGAATGTTTTAATATTCTGTGAATGACTCTGGCGGATCTCATTGCACTGCTGGACACAGCAATGTTATGGTTTCAGAAGTTTTGTGTTGGTAGAATAGATGCCAATCATGCTTTTTATTTTGAGTACCAGATCCGTAAAGTAACTATGGAACTTCATCTTTCCTAATAATTAATCTTTAACAGTTTAGTACAGGATCTTAGATATTAGCATTGCATCTCACACAAGGTACAAGAGATATTACAACATAATTTACACTTTTTTACAGTAAGGATAATGAGAATATATCTTCTCACTTCATGTGGATTACTGTAACGCGCTCTACATGGGGCTGCCCTTGAAGAGCAGCATACAAATCCTATAAATAAATAAATAAAATAAATGTGTTGCACAGTAGGATCTGAAGCCACCTTAGATACATTCATCCCAGTTCTTTGTCAGTTTGAACTATCTCATTAATGAAGTTTATGCTTCATATAATTGTCTTATATCAGAGTTTACTCGTGTGTATAATTTGTTAGCTGCCATCCATACCACATGCTTACAAAGGAAGATAATTGAATAATTATGAATTGCTTCAGAAATTTTCTTTTTTTTTTTTCAATTGTGTATGATTCTCAGATACTGCCTGGAAAAATACCTGCAATTTTCTTGACAAGCATTTTTCTGAAGTGGGTTGCCATTGTCTCCTTCATAGGGCTGAGACAAAGCGAATGGCCCAAGGTTATTCATCTAACATTGTGCCTAAAGGTGGGACTAGAACTCACAGTCTCTCTAGCCTGATGCCTTAACCACTATATCAAACTGGTTCTCATAAAATTTGAAAGATGCTCACAATCACGAACCTTAATAGGTGCTTAATCTAGTCTCAAGTGTTCATCCAGCCCAACCTTGCATGTGACTGACCTACTGAATTTTGCCCAGAAGAGGACTTCCAAATTATAATTTGTAATATGACCAAAACCATGTAGAATTAAAAACCTAACCAGTTTATTAATCTTACTAAACTTAATAAAATCAAACTTAATTTTTCCAGGGCAGATGATATCCATTTTGGCTGTGCATTCCTATAGTATGCTCAAAAGGCAAATGCAGTCTTCAACTCCAGAAGAGTTGGGTCTCCTTATTATATAGTTTGAGATTTTAAATGGAAATAAATACAATTATAACAAACATATTCTATTTCAAACTATACAAAACTATGCTATGCTATAAAACTAAATACAGACATATTGGATTTACTGCGAACCTTTTGACAGAAACTCATTTTGAGTTTCAAAAACCATCAATCTTTGATGAATTAAGGAAAATATCAATCTTTACTTCTAAGTATTGGTTAGGGAAAGGACATGCCATTATTATGTTGCTTACCTGTTGCCACATCTTGGTCTACAGAACCATGACAGTAACAACAGTCCATGAAGATGACATAACTGAGCACATTGAAGAGTAGACCTACGACTCCGACAATGAGAACATACAGAGCTTGTTCTGTCTTTACTGGGTTGAGAAACCTCTTCACAGCTTCAATCAGGATGCTGAACATCAAAGCAGTGGCAAAGACAGAATTGCCAAAGGCTCCTACAACATCAGCCCGCAAAAAGCCATATGTGTTGCTCTTATGCCATCGTATGCGACTGAAACGGACACCAAGCAAGCCAATAATCATGGATATCAGGTGGGAAAGGACGGCAAAGCCATCAGAGGCTAGCGCAAGAGAATTGCCCACATATGATACTGCCATTTCTACCACAAAAAGTAGAAAGGTGACAAAGGACATAAAAAGAAGTCGGCTGCTTCTTCCCGTGTAGCGTCCCATGGCTTCAATGCTCTTTGGGTTCTCTGCATCTAGGGCAAGCACCTAAGTAGCACTCGCAAAGATTTCAGCAATTCTCTTCTTTTTATCATCTGCTGCTGGAGATGTTTAGACGTTAATTTTTATAAGACACAATAAAACAATAAATCCTGTTTCAAGGGTAATTTAGCAAGAGGTTATCTTGCAAAGACTGTTTCATAAGGCATACGTAAAACATAATGCTATCTATCTGCCTCTAAAGTCACACGCTGGTTGTTTATTCCTCATGATAGCCAAAGTACAAAACTATGGAGCCTTTTGTGTATTTCACTGGATCTAGTCTTTTAAATAACACTAGAATAAACAAGAATAGGTCTTTGGTTTCATTAGACATATAATCTTGTATTGTTGTTTTTCCCCTTTTATTTTCTTCAAATAGATGGATAGACAGATAACAAGGAAGGAAAATGTTTTACTGCAGATTCCTTCTCCATTTATTAAGAGATTCGATGCCAAATAACTACAAGGCATAAATGAAAGTGTTTTCTCACTTCTCAACTAAAGTCTGCATTATATGCTTGGCATATGTAAAAGGTCAAAGATCCTTACATCAGTAACATACCCTAAGTCCATATTTCTCAAGCTTCTCAAAACTGTTACCACCATTTTTTCTAAATTAAATTTGGACATGCATTCTTCTTTCTATACACCATTACAAGGTTGAGAATACAAGTTAGTCTTGCATAAAAGCCAAAAAGGTGTCACTTGGCCAATAAAGAATTCTATTCTATTCTATTCTATTTGTATGGGAAAGATCCAGGTTCATTTTATCGTAACCTGATCCATTTTGAGGTTGAGTTTTGAGTTTTGCCTTTATTTGTATGCCGCCCTTTTCCCTGGGGGGACTAAGGGCGGCTCACAATTCAAAAGAGGGAGGGGG